GATCTTCACAGGTACACTGTTTTCTCAGGTGTATCGGCATAATCTTACCTGAACAGTACTACCTGCCTCAGCGCCCTGGTATACCTTCGTCACCAACCAAATATTTCCGACAGCTTCACCTTTCTCTCCCCTTCACATCCTCCTATTCATTCATTTCCTTCTTCTCGTCCTATTTAATTATTATCGCTACTTTAAATATTGTTATTGTTATTATCGCATTTAATTCTGTTAATGATCTATATTTCTTTTTTTTTTTAGTTTGAGACAGACAGACAGACAGACAGGCAGACAGACTATTCTCCCCGCATGACCCCGTTAGCGCGATATATCAAGTAATTACACTCGGTTATTTCGCGTAATTAATCCTGAAATTATAGCAAAAATCCGTAATCTGAGAATAGTGAATTTATTATCACAGATTAGCGGATAAAACAAAAATGTATTATGTAACCGACGCTGTATTTCGCCCGAACAAGACCCGGCATTAATAACGTTATTACATTTGATATAATTCTTCAATAAAAGATCTCATAAGAACTGTAGTGCAGGTGTGGTAAGTGGTGTTAATAATAATAATAATAATAATAATAATAATAATAATAATAATAATAATAATAATAAACGGTTTATTAATAGAGTTGTTATCCTCTTTTTATGGCATAAGATAACGTTATGATATCAGTGTATGAACGACTTGTAATATACCTAACCTAACCTAACCTAACCTAACCTAACCTTCCTTAATTTTGAGAGCTCATGTAACTTTGTATACATAGAGCCAAAAACTACTTACTGATACCACGAGTGACTCAAGATTAACCTCGAAGTGACACTCAAGTCAAGGATCAACTCCAATCTCTTCCTGTCTAACTTTAAGCTCTTAGTACGTGATGGGATTTGTAAATAATAATCAACCTTACAAGGAAATACTGCATGTAGATCACCCTGAAACTGTAGTAGATTGGAATTGTCTGGTGGAGGATCGGGTGAAGTGTCGGGTGGAGGGTTGGGTGGAGAGTTGGGTGGAGGGTCGGGTGGATGGTCTGGTGCAGGATCGTGTGGAGGGTTGGGTGGAGGTTCGTGTGGAGGATAGGGTGGAGGGTCGGGTGGAGGATAGTGTGGAGGATAGGGTAGAGAGTTGGGTGGAGTGTCGGGTGGATGGTCGGGTGCAGGATCGTGTGGGGGGTCGGGTGGAGGTTCGTGTGGAGGTCCGTGTGGAGGATAGGGTGGAGTGTCGGGTGGAGAGTTGGGTGGAGAGTTGGGTGGAGTGTCAGGTGGATGGTCGGGTGCAGGATCGTGTGGGGGTCGGGTGGAGAGGTTCGTGTGGAGGTCCGTGTGGAATGGGGTGGAGTGTCGGGTGGAAGTTGGGTGGAGTGTCAGCGGGCGTGGTTACAGGACAGAAGCATGAAGTGGCAGTAATAGCACTAGTCACGACCCGGTGGCAATCACAAGTGGAGTTAAGGCTCAGTACTTGGACATTATTGTTATTATATACGCAAACGACATAGGAATCGGCATAAAGCAACAACATAATAGAATTTGCTGATGACACTAAAATAGGACGTGTTATTAAATCTGACGAGGACTCGGCAAAACTACAGGAAGATCTAAACAAATTTTTCGAATGGTCTGAAAAATGGCAGATGAAATTCAACGTCGACAAATGTAAATTACTCAGTATAGGAGATGTAAACAGGCAAACCAGATACCAGATGAACAACGATGCCATAGAGAAATCCGACTGCGAGAGAGATTTAGGAGTAATGATAAGTAGGAACCTTAAACCAAGTAAACAATGTGTTTCTGCTCGTAAAAAGGCTAATAAAGTACTTGGGTTCATACAAAGGAGTGTTAGTTACAAGACTAGCGAGGTCATCGTAAAACTGTATCTTGCTCTTGTGAGACCACACCTGGACTACGCAGTTCAGTTCTAGTCACGTACAGAATGGATATAGAATCATGGAAAGAATTCAGAGGAGAATGACAAGACTAATCGGCATTAGGAACCTTGAGTATATAGAACGGAGTTAAAGCATCTTAATTTGCACTCCTTGAGGGACGTAAACGAGGGGCGACATGATAGGGGTGTATAAGTGAAAGGCAGGGCTAAACAAAGGGACATTACAAAGGTACTCAAACTATCCAACCACGAGCGAACTCGTAACAATGGTTTTAAATTAGACAAATTTAGATTTCGGCGTGAAATAGGTAAACACTGGTTTGGAAACAGAGTAGTGGATGAATGGAACAAGTTACCAAATATCATCATTAACTCGAATACGCTGAATAGCTTCAAACATAGGTTGGATGCTTATATGAGCAATAGAGGTTGGGTGTAAACGGGACTGCCCAGTATGGGCCAATAGGCCCGCTCCAGTTTCCTCCATTCTTATGTTCTTATGCGAGTCGGGCGATGGGACGGGTGGAGGGTTGGGTAAAGGAGTGGAATGATACAACAGGGAGCTATCATTACCATTAAACCAGAAGACTTTCTCGCATTAACCTCTCACAACCTAATCTAACCTAACCTAACCTCTCACCACCAGACCTAACCTAACCTAACCTCTCACCACCAGACCTAACCTAACCTAACCTCTCACCACCAGACCTAACCTAACCTAACCTCTCACCACCAGATCAATACAACAGTTGTGAGGAAAATAAGTTGATACCAATATTTTCCATCATCTCTGACAGTTGTTATCTTGGGTGTCGACCTACAGTCAGTACATAATTAAAATACCATAGTTGTTTCAAGTACACAAGTTCTTATAAAGATCTTAATAACAGGTTTAGACATCCTAGTTTATTTCATCTGATGATTAAATATCCTAATGCTAAATGAGGGAGTGGTTAGGTTAGGTTAGGTTAGGTTATACTACGGTGCCTAATATTCAGATAATCCGAAGTTGCGCCGTTTGTTAACTGGGTCCATTTTACATCAACTAAAAAAATCTCCTTCAAAACCCATATATTTTTGTGAGTGTTGTCAGATAAAACTAAGACGCTGACCCCTATGGGGGATGGTGGGACATTTAAGAGGTGGGGGAGGGCAGCAGCACACATCAGGTGCTGTTCAACATGAAGCTCGTGAGTATTATTCTCTCTCCTGATGTTACACCTTAAGACTGAGTGTGTAGCAACACTCTACGTTATCAAAGACGTTTAGTTTTTTGTTTTATATAAAAGAAGAAGAAGCAACCTTTGCTTCAGTGTGACAATGTGTGGTGTAGAGAAGCTGTAACGAACACAAGAGTTTTATGTCTCGGTCAACAACAACTTTTTGATGACTAATTAACAAAAAATACCTGAAGACAAGAGTTAATATACGAGTGAATCTTTTAACATACAGCGCGTGAAGGAGTCTTAGACAGCAGCTGTTCAGCACAGCATTATGACTTGACTTGTGAGACTGGTGGCCCAGGGTGCCCTGTGTCTTGTGACCTGAGGTGTTATATATCAAGTAGCTCTGGGTGTCATTTATCTTATAAGTGCTAGATGAGTTAAGACTTCAAGTAGTATTTGGCACACGACGTTCAAGTGTCGCGCACAAAGCTCAGGGTGTCAAGTAACTCATCCATAACTCAGTGTCAAATGTCATACATAATTTGGAGTATCAAGTGACCCCTGACCCCTGACCCTAGATGCCGGACCCTTGATACCTGACTACGATACATTTAAATTTAAGAAAGCATGCATGAACTCGCTGCTTTCCTGTTGGGCGCTGCAATGCTTTTGTGCTTTTCTTAACTAAAGGCTGTAAGAGGGTGCTCAATAAACTAGTCCTCGTGATGTGTGGGTCGAATCTTAATGACAAGCGGCAAAGCAGAGTCATGTGTTGATTTGTTGTGTGTATAAGATGACCACCAAATGATTTACTTCCGTGTGGTGGTGGGGGTGGTGGTGGTGGTAGTGGTGGGGGTAGTGGTAGTGATAGTGGTGGTGGGGGTAGTGGTGGTGGTTGTGGTGATGGTGGTGGTTGTGATGATGGTGGGGCTAATTAGTTGGGGTGTGGTGGGGTGGTGGGTGGTGGAGGCAGTGAGGGTGGTGGTTGTGTGGTATTAGTGGTGGTGGTGGTATTAGGGATGGTGTGGTGGTGGTGGTGGTGGTATTGAGTGGTGGTGGGGTAGTGGTGGTGGTTGTGGTAATGATAGGGATGAGTGGTGATGGTGGGGTTGTGATGGTCCTTGTGGTGATGGTGGTAGTGGTTTGGTGGTGGTAGTTGTGGTGGTGGTAGTGGTGGAGGGGTAGTGGTGGAGGGATAGTGGTGGAGGGGTAGTGGTGGTGGTTGTGGTGATGGTGGTAGTGGTGGTGGTGGTTGTAGGAGTGGTGGTAGCGGTGGTGTTAGTGGAGGTGGTGGTAGTGGTGGTGGTGACGGTAGTTGTGGTGGTAGTAGTGGTGATGTTAGTGGTGGTGGTGTTAGTGGTGGTGGTGCTAGGGGTGGTGGTGTTAGTGGTGGTGGTGTTAGTGTGGTGATGTTAGTGGTGGTGGTGTTAGTGGTGGTGGTGCTAGGGGTGGTGGTGTTAGTGGTGGTGGTGTTAGTGGTGGTGGTGTTAGGGCGGTGGTGTTAGTACTGATGATGGTGATGATAGTGATCAGGTGTATTAGACTGAAAGATATAACAGTATAATGACTTATACTTGTTATTGTGGTGTGATGTGAGGGCCTCTTGTGATGGGATAGACAACAAGGTACTTCAAGGTGATCTTTGATGCATTAGTGTGTATGTGTGATTTCCAGCACCTAGGAGTAGCATACCAAGTGCTGGAATGATCTTGTTATTAACTCGTATAGAAACATCAAAAGACTGTTTCTTCCACAATTTCAGTTCTGTATTAAATTTCAATATACCAACCTTGAATTAGGGAACTGAGGTAATATTTCGGCTGCGTTATGACAGGTGTTTTAAACTAAGATACTTCAATCAGTTTCTTTGTCGTTATTGGGTAAGAAATAAGTAGCTGGCACCTACAGAGAGGCATGGTGGCACATACAGTACAGTATAAGAGGTGAGGGAGGACAGTAGCACACATCAGTTCTGTCACAAGTGTTCAACATGAAGCTCGTGAGTATTATTCTCTCTCCTGATGGTGTGTCCACTCACATGTTTACCAACGCACATGTTACACCTTAAGACTGAGTGTGTAGCAACACTCTACGTTATCAAAGACTTTTAGTATTTTGTTTTATATAAAAGAAGAAGAAGCAACCTTTGCTTCAGTGTGACAATGTGTGGTGTAGAGAAGCTGTAACGAACACAAGAGTTTTATGTCTCGGTCAACAACAACTTTTTGATGACCAATTAACAAAAAATACCCGAAGACAAGAGTTAATATACGAGTGAATCTTTTAACATACAGCGCGTGAAGGAGTCTTAGACAGCAGCTGTTCAGCACAGCATTATGACTTGACTTGTGAGACTGGTGGCCCAGGGTGCCCTGTGTCTTGTGACTTGAGGTGTCATATATCAAGTAGCTCTGGGTGTCATTTATCTTATAAGTGCTAGATGAGTTAGGACTTCAAGTAGTATTTGGCACGCGACGTTTAAGTGTCGCGCACATAGCCCAGGGTGTCAAGTAACTCCTCCATAACTCAGTGTGTAAAGTAACTCTTCCATAGCTCAGTGTCAAGTGTCATATACTGTACATAACTCAGGGTGTCAACAACTCACTAGATGCAAGATACATTAAAGTTTCCTAAATAACTCATTATTACCTCCTACTAACCAGGTGACTCTTGTAGTGGGTGTCTGTGTGTTGATCCTGTTCCTCCTCCTCCGTCAGGTGAGTCTAGTCTTGGCCCTCCTGCTGGCGCTGTCGGCGGTGCTCACCTCCGTCAACGCTGACCCCGTCGCCGACCCGGAGCCATTCTTCTTGAAGTTCTTGAAGTTAAAGAAGGGTAAGAAAGGAGGCCACCGAGGACCTCCCGTCCATGTTGTCTACCGTCCACCTCCTCCCCCCAAGGGCTACGGACATCAAAGTGGCTACGGACGCTAGAGGAGCCACCATCGGGCAGCTAGAAGAAGCTTCTTAGTCGTAGAAGATTGTCGCAAGTTGTGTGAATATTCTTCAGCCTCTAGGTCACAACACCTGAGTCATCTTACTCACCTGTACAGCCTCACCATCAACACAACAGATGACTTTACCACAACTAGACTGTCACTGCTCCTTACACTCTACCACAACTAGACTGTCACTCTTCCTTACACTCTACCACAACTAGACTGTCACTGCTCCTTACACTCTACCACAACTAGACTGTCACTGTTCCTTACACTCTACCACAACTAGTGTCACTGTTCCTTACACTGTTTCTTATTGTACTTACTGTAAATTCAATAATTGTACTTCAGATTATTTTAAGAAACAAAATAAAGGTACATTAATTCTCACTGTTGTCTGATAGATTAACCTGTTATAAAATTATTCTAAATATCGCTAATTAATTATCTTTCCTAAATGGCTGATATCTTTTGTTTAGAGACAAGTAAGGCTGGAGGGGTAGGTTGAGGTTGACACAGCCTTCTGGGAGGCTTTTCCCCTCTGATAGGCGGACGTTTCGGGCATTGCCGTGAGTCAGCATTGTGCCAGCCACCACAATTACAACACCTTGCGTCAATAACATAGCCCACACCACCACCATTGAGGTGGTCTTTAATTTTCTGGGCACAGACGGAGGAGTGATGGTTAAGCGAACAAAAACGACATCTGGGACGATCACGTCGGCAGCAGGCGGTGACGTTGTGACCCCAATGAAAGCAGATGACACAAAAAGCAGGCCCGGGGTGATAGGGTTCTGCATACAGTGGACGAAGGACTGGGTGGGCATCAACAGTGGTTGGGCACTCCCTCCCCTTCCATTTAACTATGACAGCTGCTTGTGGGGTCTTCCCCCGGTAGTGTCGACGTACACTGAGTATACATGGATTAAAGTCACGAGCATCTTCGACTTCAGCGTATAGAGGGAACTGTTTAACTAGGAAGTGCCAACATTCATCAGCATCTACTGAGAAAGGGGATGGGGCGCTCAAGGACAACCCCGTCAAATCCAACAGTACTAAGTGTTTCATAGACCTCAGGAGTCTGACACTTGATAAAGTTACGGTTCTTACCTTTTCGGAATTGAATGGAGAGACCGTGTTGTCGCCAAAACTTAGTTATCCAATTAAACCGTTCCTCGACTGTTTTCAGTGAGTCCTTGGGGAAGTGCAGATTCAGCTTACTTAATTGGTAGGCAGAGGGGAGGGTGGTGAGGGGAAGCTCGCTGCCCTTGGCATTGGTGTTGCCACTCCGGCAAGTGTTTCCCATAGAAACATTACTGTCACTATCACTGAGGTCTGACTCTTGCAGGGTGTGGGATGCAGTATGACCAACCATATCACAAATGTCTGTATCCATGAGAGGGGACTCCTATTCTGGGGCGTTTACGCCGACCCCATCGCTGGCAGCAGCACTTATCAGCGAAGGGGTCGGGAGAGATTGAGGTAGCCCTTGTGGCCTCAGTGCACTTTTTTTTTAGTTAGGTTAGGTTAGGTTAGGACGTGACCTGTTAGGTCAGCTATCCTAACCTAATCTAAACTAAAAAAAATAGGTTAAGTTAGGTTACCTGACCTAACAGGCTACTTCCTAACCTCCGAACCTAACTAAAAAAAAATTAGGTTAGGTTACCTGACCTAACAGGTCACGTCCTAACCTGACGTAACTAAAAAAAAGTGATTTGCCCCAAAGACAAATGTCAGAATCATCTGAAACAGCAAGAAAATTATTGAAAAAATATATTTTTCACGTGAAAAAAGGTGATGGGTGGTTAACAAAAATTACCCAAAGAGGACATGGCTGGAAATCACCATGAGAGTCAATGCTGTGCGTTTCCTGGTGTGGTGAGGTCAGTGGCAGAGAGTGAGACACGCTGGTTCTCAGTATTGTCCAAGTCAAGAAGGAAGATCTCTGATATAAAGAGGGAAAACACACACATGGTATCAACTAACAGAGGACTATTACGGGACTTAAAAGTGCTCCCGAGGTTTTTTAACTTAACAGTACTATTAAGGCCCTTAAAATTTTTCTGTATGTACTATTAGTGCTAAACAGGTCAGCCTTAACAACTGTTTGCTGGCACTTAATAGTTTTGTGTACAGTATACCGGCCCTGGACACCGGTAGACTGGCTATCACCACCCACTTGTACAGTTAAACAAATATTCGTCAACAATAGACTGAACAAACGGGTAGTTACAGGCAAATGCACCAAGAAACAGATTCATAACTTGACACCAAACACCTGAAGCAATATACAACTAACACAAGTCTCTGGATGACAATGAACACACTCCAATCATTTCATTCAACTCCTTAAATTAAAACAAACTGACAGACGCCCATACACAAACACCATAACAATTTAACAGATGCAAATATTCACCAAAAAATTAATTCAAAGATAAAAAGTAAAATATCTAACATAACTAAACTTAGATTGATATTAATTAAGAATATATGTGAGGTGAAACTCTTAAGAATTACAAGAAGACAATCCAGTCGTAGAAGGAACAGCCTGAGGAGTTTTGGTAAAGATCACAGTTCACATTATGACAAGTGAAAGGTTGAACTGGTGACATGTAAATAAAGTTAGGAAATATAGTACACGAGGGATGAAGATAATGGAAGAGAGAGAGAGAGAGAGAGAGAAAGAGAGAGAGAGAGAGAGAGAGAGAGAGACGACCACATATATATTCTAATGAACCAAGATAAAGGTACGAACTGGCATCTATATCCAAGCAGGTACAGAAGGTTATATAAGGGAGGGGCGGGCGATAGGGAAGACCAGACATTCTTCCCACCTTGTCCTTGGAGCATCTCTTAAGCCTTACACCATGAAGATAGTGTGTCTGTCGGCAGAGAGAACAGTAAGTGTATTAGTAAGTTCGTTTTAATCTCTCTTTCTTCCTTAATCTTTCTTCTTAATCTATATTTTATTATAATTTTTTTTTAGTGAGAGAAAAAATAAGTGAACAAATATCGTGTGTTTATGTTGTGTACCTTCACCAGAGATGGACGCCATGAGGCTTCCCTTCACCCCACCCAACCCAGCCCAACCCAACCCAACCCAACCCAACCCAACCCAGGCTCCGGACCTAACCCAACCCAGCTCAACTCCCAACCCAACCCAGCCTCCAGCCCGACCCGGGACCCAACCCAACCCAGCCCAACCCAACCCAACCCAGCCCAACCCAGCTCATCCCAACCCAACCCAACCTTTAGGACTCCATCCCAACCTTGACCTGACCCAACCTAACCCAACCCAACCCAACCCAGCGCCCAACCCAACCCACTGCCTAACCCACCCCAGCTCAGCCCAACCCAACCCGTGACCAAACCCAACCCAACCCGACCTGACCCAACCCAACCTAGCCCAACCCAGCCTGACCCAACCTGACCCAACCCAACCCAGCCCCAACCTGACCCGAACCCGACCCGACCTAGCCTAACCCAACCCAACCCAGCCCAACCCAACCCAACCCAGCCCAACCCAACCCGACCCAACCCACCCAACCTGGTAGCCCAACCCAACCCAACCCAGACCCAACCCAGCCAACCCAAACCCAACCCAACCAAGAACCCAACCCAACCCAACCCAGCCCAACCCAACCCAGCCCAACCCAGCCCAACCCAACCTCACCCAACCCAACCCTCACCCAACCCAGCCCAACCCAACCCAACCCAGCCCAACCCAACCCAACCCAACCCAGCCCAACCCAACCCAACCCAACCCAACCCAACCCAACCCAACCCAACCCAGCTCCAGCCCAACCCAACCCAACCCAACTCCAACCCAGCCAAGTTCAACCCAACCCAACCCGGACCCATCCCAGCCCAACCCGACCAAACCCAACCCAAACTCCAACTCCAGCCCAACCCAACCCAACCTACCCAGCCCAACCCAACTCCAACCCAACCCAGCCCAGCCCAGCCCAGCCCAACCTAACCTAACCCAACCTGACCCACCCAACCCAGCCCAACCCAACCCAACCCAACCCAGCCCAGCCTCCAACCCAGCTCCAACCCAGCCCAACCCAACCCAACCCAACCCAGCCCAACCTAACAGCCCAAACCTCCAGCCCAACCCAGCCCAGCCCAACCCAACGCAACCCACACAGACACATATTACTTTTATTTTTTTTAATATATGAATACCTGAGTCACCTGTGCTGTAGCTGCCCTTACCAGTCTCATACCGGGTCTTTCAGAGTGTCAAGGAGATAGATAGATAGATAGATAGATAGATAGATAGATAGATAGATAGATAGATAGATAAATAGATTCATTCATTTGAGTTCCTATGTTCATTTTAACCGTCTTCCATCAGGCACTCCTCGGGCTGCCGCTCCTGCTGGCACTGTCGTTGGCACTCTCCACCGCCAGTGCCAACCCTGAGCCCTTCAATAAGTTCTGGAAGTTGGGCTGGAAGGAAAGTTATCGACCACTTCGTGTACCTGTTGTCTATCGTCCAGTTTATGTCACAAAGGATTACGAACATCCCAGCAGCTACGGACATCTCAGCAGCTACGGACACACTAGCAGCTACGGACATCTCAGCAGCTACGGACATCCCAGCAGCTACGGACACACTAGCAGCTACGGACATCTCAGCAGCTACGGACATCCCAGCAGCTACGGACATCCCAGCAGCTACGGACATCCCAGCAGCTACGGACATCCCAGCAGCTACGGACATCCCAGCAGCTACGGACATCCCAGCAGCTACGGACATCCCAGCAGCTACGGACATCTCAGCAGCTACGGACACACTAGCAGCCACGGACACACTAGCCCCTACGGACGTCCCACTGGCGGCCGCGGCAGACCAGACTCACAGGCATTTAAGGCCTCAGTCCCACCGATGGCTCCCTGCATAACTGATCCAGTCCTAGTAGCCCCAGTAGCGCTAGCAGCACCGGTAGCCCCAGCAGCTCAAGAAGCCCCAGCTAACCCAACAGCCCCGGTAGCCCCAGTCGGCCCGGTAGCCCCAGTCGGACCGGTAGCCCTAGTCGGCCCGGTAGCCCCAGTCGGCCCGGCCCCAGTCGCCAGTAGCCCCGAGGTAACTGATCGGCCCAGCCCCAGTCAGCCAATGACCCCAGTCATGGTACCTCCAGTCGTCCCGGTACCCCCAGCAGCCCCAGTAGGCCCCGGTTTGTCTCAGTAACCCTATTAGAGCCAACAAGCCCACCAGCCCCACTAACGGCTTTAGAAATAGCTGCTCTAGCCCCAGAAGACCGACCATCCAGAGTAGCCCCGGTAGCCCCTTTAGCTCCAGTAGCACCAGTAGCCCCGGTCGGTCCACTAGCCCCACTAACAGCTATGGACATGACTGATCAATCTTTGCCATCCATTTTCTTAAGAAATTTGGCTTAAAGAATATACATCAAGATCCAGGCCTCCCTCCCCCCCTTTACACTCAAGACGCCACAGAGCCCACCACTCACCAGACGTCACAGAGCCCCACTCACCAGACGTCACAGAGCCCACCACTCACCAGACGTCACAAAGCCCACCACTCACCAGATGTCACAGAGCCCCACCTTCAAGACATCACAGAGCCCCACCTTCAAGAAGTCACAGAGCCCACCACTCACCAGACGTCACAGAGCCCCACCTTCAAGACGTCACAGAGCCCCACCACTCACCAGACGTCACAGAGCCCCACTGTAAAGGCCTGGGACTTAGGGATAGAAATCCCTTACCAGCCTAATCAGGTTCTTAATAAAGGAAAGTCAAGGACCATGGTTTTCTGAGGAATAACAAACAACCGTTTGAGATTGACATCTCTTTACTATAAAAATATAACACAAAACTCTGACACCACTCAACAAACACCAAATAACAATTAAAGGGAGCAAACAATTAATGGGAGTCAGCAATTAATAGAATCAAACAATTAATGGGAGTCAACAACTGATGGAATCAAACAATTAATGGAAGTCAACAACTGATGGAATCAAACAATTAATGGGAGTCAGCAATTAATGGAATTAAACAATTAAATGGAATCAAACAAACAAGAGAATCAAACAATGAACAGATAATTCCTACGGCAGCGGCCCTGGGGAAGGTTCTGGAACGCTGTGATCCACTCTCAGGGGGAAGGTCCATTCAGCTCCTCACTGAGCGACAGCGGCCGATGTCTTGATACAGCGGGAGAAACACCGGGGCACAGACGGAGATGAACTGACGGTCGTGGCAGCCGAGGTAGTGGTTTGGGGCAGGTGTCCAGAGATTAACAGACGAATTGTGAAAGGTTTGGGCAAACAGCTCACAAGTCCAGAGCCTTTGATGAGATCACAGCGAGAATTTGACGAACAGCGGGGAGGTAGTGACTGTATTGACGGCTGTCAGCGACGTTCTCACCTCCGTCTAACCCCCCAAGTGGGGGTCACGCCAGCAAACGAGCGAGTGAGCAGCGGTAACGAGCAGGAAGATCGTTTCTGCCCTTACACCCACCCCAAAGACGTCACAGAGCCATAGTCTTGACAGAACTTACTGGAGATCCTTCTACGAGATCCTTCAACGAGATCCTTCAGGCACTATAGGAGGGATGCCACCACCACCTAGCGACATCCTCTGAACAATGGAGTTGTTTTTGTTCAGCATCGACAACAAGAGGACAAAAATAAACTGTTAATGACTCTTTCATTGTCTGTGTGTCTGTCTATTTCTTTTTACTGTCTGTTTATCTCTCACTGTTTCCCTTCCTCTAACTGTCTGTCTCTCTTTGTTTATCTTTCTCACTGCTCGTGTCTCTCTCTCTCTCTCTCTCTCTCTCTCTCTCTCTCTCTCTCTCTCTCTCTCATGTTAAAACTGTACGTATTATAGACTCGTTAAAGTAGTAAGTAAACCAACACTTTCTTTTAAATAACCTTGTGTGTATATGGCTGTATTCACTCTCTGCGTCACCAGATTCCTTCCTTAAAAATAGGAAGATGGAATTTGCATAAAGAGAAAAGAATGAAATAACAAGAATAATGATAAACTATAAACATAATAATAAAAATCATAAACAATATTATAAATTATGCAAATATGTGACAGACAGACAGACAGACAGAGATATAATTGACAGACAGACAGACAGATAGATACGTGACTGAGACTACTAAACATATAGGTGAAAAACAGACACGATAGACAAATAGACAGAAGGATTCGTGGCAGACAGACAGACAGATAGACAGACAAACAGACAACACATCCTAGAGGACCACCGTCTAATATGATGACTGTCAACTGGTAATAGTTTGTGGGAGAACACTGTCCATCGTCCGTGATCTGTCGTGCAGTGTCCGTAGTCCGGGGTCCAGTGTCCGTAGTCCGGGGTCCAGTGTCCGTAGTCCGGGGTCCGGGGTCCAGTGTCGAAAGTCCGGGATCCAGTGTCCGGGGTCCGGGGTCCAGTGTCCGTAGTCCGGGGTCCAGTGTCCGTAGTCCAGGGTCCGTAGTCCAGTGTCCGTAGTCCAGTGTCCGTAGTCCAGTGTCCGTAGTCCGGGGTCCAGTGTCCGTAGTCCGAGGTCCTGTGTCCGTAGTCTGTCGTCCGTGGTTAGGTGTGTGTACCACCACTCACCTTCACCTGTGACGTAATTAAGGTCAAGGATGAAGCTCTCCCTCCCTCCGCTTTCCTTTCTTTCTTCCTCTCTCCCTCCTTCCCTCCCTCCCTCCCTTCATCTCTCCCCCACTTCTTCTTCTTCTTCTTCTTCTTCTTCTTCTTCTTCTTCTTCTTCTTCTTCTTCTTCTTCTTCTTCTTCTTCTTCTTCTTCTTCTTCTTCTTCTTCTTCTTCTTCTTCTTCTTTTCTTCCCCTTGTGTGTGGTTGAGACCGAGAGGTGAGAGAGACATTGTCTTGCGTGTTAGTACTGTCTCGTTAGTTCACCTGAGGAGAGCCATTCACCTGCTTTATTATGCCCTGGTAACAGGAGGAGGAGGAGGAGGAGGAGGAGGAGGAGGAGGAGGAGCCATTGTTGTCTTAACCAAAAGAAGAATACAAATTTATCTATACTTTTTGTGGTTTATTTTTCTTATACATCAAAGTCTGTAAACTTTTGACTGTCATGAGAGAGAGGAGGAGAGAGTGGGTGGTGAGTGGTGGGTGAGGGGTGGGTGGGTGAGTGGTGGTGTGAGGTGAGGAGGAGGTGGAGTGGTGGTGGTGGTGGTGGGAGTGGGGGTGGTGAAGTGAGGGAGTGGTGGTGGTGGTGGTGGAGTGAGGAGGAGGTGAGTGGTGGTGGTGGTGGAGTGAGGAGGTGGGTGAGGGAAGGAGTGGGTGGTGGTGGTGGAGTGGGGGTGGGTGGTGGTGGGGGAGGGAGAAGGTGGTGGTGGGTGGGGAGGTGGGTGGTGGTGGAGTGAGGAGGAGGGGGTGGTGGTGGTGGTGTGGGTGGTGGGTGGTGGAGTGAGGGAGGGTGGTGGTGGTGGTGGTGGAGTGAGGGGGAGGTGGGTGGTGGTGGTGGTGGTGGGGGGGGAGGAGGTGGGTGGTGGTGGTGGGTGAGGGGGGAGGTGGGTGGTGGTGGTGGTGGTGGAGGGAGGAGGTGGTGGTGGTGGGTGGTGGTGGTGGGGAGGAAGAGGTGGTGGTGGAGTGAGGGGTGGTGGGGGTGGTGGTGGAGGAGGAGGAGGGAGGAGGGGAGGGGTGGTGGTGGTGGTGGGTGAGAGGAGGGGTGGTGGGTGGTGGTGGGTGGGGAGGAGGTGGGTGGTGGTGGTGGTGGAGTGGGGGGGAGGGTGGTGGTGGTGGAGTGGGGAGGAGGTGGTGAGTGGGGAGGAGGTGGGTGGTGGTGGTGGAGTGGTGGTGAGGGTGGAGGGGAGGTTAGTGAGGGTTGTAAAGAAATATGATGGGGTGGGGAGAAGGTGTGTACAGGAATGGGGAGCTAATGAGGCCAGGTGGAATATGGGGAGGTGTGTGTGTGTATCCCATCCTCCCCCATGACGTCTCCCACCCCCAACCAACAGTCCCTTACCTGAGCTGTAATGATTTCTTTTCACAGGAGGTACAATTGGTTCCCCTAAGGCGCCAGGGTCATGAACGGTCTTTCACCCTGGGGGAAAAAACACGGTGGTTTCACTTTCTTGACCCAACTTTGCATTTTAAAACATGTGTGTTATTATTAATGAAGCCAAATGTGTTTGTTTTGTAGTTTGCTGTATTTGCCTGTTTTTGTTAGAGGTGTATTTTACTGTATTGGTCTTATGTTGTATTTTGCTGTATTTGCTGATGTTATTTTATTACTGTAATAGTGCTGTTAATTTACGTTCAGGTATTGCATGATGTATCGTTGTATTGCTGTATTATACTGTATCAATGCATCATCTGTAAGCGTCGTTCTATGTTGTTTTAGTAGACAGACAGTGTATGACTGTATAATTACAAAATTACAGTATGTGACACGACTGTATCTTGTATACTTGTGAGGAATAATACCATCTATATATCAGGACACACACACACACACACACACACACACCTGTACCTGCAACTTAATTAGGATCCTGTATCTTGACACGAACCTGTTACTCATAGTCTACCTACACGTGTACAATGGGCCGCCCCCCCCACACGCACGCACGCACTCACGCACGCAAAAAACAGTACCGTGGAAAAAAATTACGGTGTTGTTGAGTCAGGTGTGGTATACCTGTAGGAGTCGATGGCAGGTGTAGAAAGACGTACCCTCATCATCTGTCCCTCATATACCATTTTTTTCTTTACCTGTTTCCTCTTCCCTTCACCTCACCTCTCACTTCACTTCTCCCTGACCACTCTCCTCATCTCTCCCTCACCTCACCTGACCTCACCTCTCACCTCACCTGACCTCCCACCTCTCCTCTCCTGACCCTCCTCATCTCTCCCTTCACCTCACCTCTCACTTCACTTCTCCCTGACCACTCTCCTCATCTCTCCCTCACCTCACCTGACCTCACCTCTCACCTCACCTGACCTCACCTCTCCTCTCCCTGACCACTCTCCTCATCTCTCCCTCACACCTCTCCTTGTAATTGAGGCGGCGCCCCTTTTGACCCCCCTCACACACGCACACACGCACACGGGCTCATACAACCACCCGCATCAGTGATTTTCCGAATTTCATCTTAACCCAACATGGAGATGAAAGCTGTCACGGAGGAGGGGTGAAGGAGGGGTGAAGGAGGGGTGAAGGAGGGGTGAAGGAGGTGAA